GCTAAGTAGGGTTTTTTTCCCCCTTGGTTGTACTGGTGGTTGAACCAGGACCTTCTCACTGAGCTACGTCCTCAGCCTTTTTTATTTTTTACATTCTGAGACAGGATCTCGTTAAGTTGCTAAGTGGCCCAGGCTGGGCTTGAACCTGTCTCAACCTCTGGAGTAGCCTGGATGACAGGTGTGTGCCGCCACGCCCGGCTCACTTCTGAGTCTCTACCTAGGGTGAAACTGCCATGCTGTGCAGTAAGAGGCTCGTTCTGTCCTTCCCACTCAGGATTCCCGTGTGTCCACGCTGTGTCCAAGCCCATCTGGACTGTAGGGCTCCCTCTGCTCTTCTGGACTGAAGGGGGAGGCGGTGGGGATTTGGCAGGTGGCCCTGGGGTGTTGCCCGCTGATCAAAGGGTGTCCTTCCCAGCTACTCCCATCCTGGGTCCACTAGACCTTCCAGCCACTTTTGGCAAAAAGAATACCTGAGTCCTGGGGCTAGCGCAGCGGCACAGCACCTGCCTGGCAAGCACGAGGCCCTGAGTTCGATTCCTAGTACCCACCCCCCTATCAAAGGAATACCTGGGTGTGGTGGGACTGCCTGCCGTCCCAGTACTCTGGGAGGCTGAGGCAGAAGGATCCCAAATTAAAGCCCAGCATGGGGAATTAAGCAACACTCCATCTCAAAATAAAAAGGGCTGGGAGTATAACTCAGTGAAAGGCCCTGGGTTCCATCCTCAGTACCAGAAACAAAAAAGAATGGAATCCGGGAGACCCAGGTTTAAATCCCAGGTCCATTAGACCACTCTGAGCCTGTTTCCCACTGTGGGAAAGGGGCAGGAATAGTAAATGTCACCCCAGAGCGTGCGGAGGGGTCCTTGAGCTCAGTTCCTGGACTGAAGTGTGTCCTCTATGGGTATTTTGGGATTTATTTATTTGGTTTTTTTGAGACAGGATCTCTCTATGTAATTCAACCTGGTCTTTTTTTGTTTTGTTTTGGTACCGGGAATCAAACTCATGACCTCAGGCTTGCCAGGCAAGTGCTTATACTGCTGAGCTACATCCCCCGCCCTCAAGCTGGTCTTGAACTTGAATCCTCCTGTCTCAGCCTCCCAAGTACGGGGGTTATAGGCATGCACCGCCACACCCAGTTTTTTTACAGGTATTTGGGGAAAAGGAAGATTCTGGAAAATCCCAATATATGAGCGTCAGCTTAAGTCACAGAGGACAATCACAGGGTGGGAGAGGGCGGGGCTCTGCCCAGGGAAGGGACAACATCAGGCCTGAGGCCTGGCTCTGAGGCCCTGGCTGCTGGTTGAATCCTTGCAGGAAATTTGCCATTTGTGGAAACTGAGGCCCCAGAGAATCCCACACAGGGATCCAAACAGGCTGAGACTGCCCCTCAGTGCTGCCCCTAGAGGCCCCCCAAGACCCAGCCAGAGACAGGAGGAACCTCTCGGCCCCTCAACAGAACACGCGGCATGCACACCAAGGATTATAAAAATAAGACCGAGTTTATTCCGGAAGCCACAGCGAGGTCACAAAGGCACCTGGGATCCCAGAGCCCGCGACAGCACACACACTCTCTGCATGGTTGTCCCTGACGAGGACACGGCCACGCAGCAGCTGGCCGCTCGCCCAGGACAGGGCGCCCTGGGGCTGCAGTCCCGCTGGCTCCCTGTGGCCCGGCAGGCGGGCAGGTGGCAGCACTAGGGGTGGTTGAGCAGCGAGTTGTAGATGTCACCCAGCACCTGCAGGAAGAGCTCCTCTCGGGGCCGTGTGCCGTCCAGCTGCACTGCAGTCAGAGAGGCTGCGGTCAGCCGCGGGCTCCCGGGGCCGGGGGTCTGCCGGGCATGGGGGCAGCGGACTTGCAGTCAGGCTGCCAGCACAGGACAGCGTTGGGGACCAACAAGAGACACTGTAGGTACAGGCAAGCATGGTGCATGTGCCTGCGAGCCCCGCACTCGGGAGGCTGAGGCAGGAGGATCACTGTGAGTTTGAGGCCAGCCTGGGCTCCATAAACTGTCTCAAAAAAATGAGACTGCAGGTGAGACTCAAGGAGGGACCTCCAGATTGTCTCCCATTGATCCTGGGGAGAAATGTGACTCCCAACCTGCTAGGTGTCACACACGCCGAGCTCGTGTTCCCCAAAATGGAAGAATGAATTCTAAGGAATAGCAAAGTTAGAAGTAGGAGAATTTATTGAGACAGGAGGGAACCCGACAGTGGGTCGTCACAGAGCCCACTTTCCTAGGAGTTTTATAGGGCAAAATCAAAAGGTGGGTACAACGTGGTCAATCTAAAATCCACCAATAAGATTATAAGTATAGCTGCTTAGCTAATATCGATCCAATAGGGTAGCAAGGGCATATGGATGACATTATTAACCTCGGTCAACAATCTATACTCTTAGCCTTGTCTTTATTTTATTTTATTTTTTGTTTTTTCAGGCTGGTCTTGAACTCACTTTGTAGCCCAGGCTGGCCTCGAACTCGCAGAGACCCTCCTGCCTCAGCCTCCCGAGTGCTGGGATGATATGACAGCATGCAACACATACCCAGCTCTGTTCTCAGTCTTAGATTCAGGAGTCTCAGGCTCGGGCTCAGTCTCAGTGGGTGGGAGAAGATGGCTCACCCCAGTCAGATAACGGTTTACTTCTATGGGAAATCTCAAAAGGGTGCTACAGATAATCTCAAACTTCTAGTTATCCTTTAGGGAAGGCTGCAAATCTGTGACAGCTCAGCGGCACAGCGCCTGCGTGGCAAGCGCCGGGTCCTGAGTTCGATTCCCGGTACAAAAACAAAATCTTCAGAAGCACCTGCAGCCACAGTGGTGCTGTGCTCTCATCTTCTGCACTGACTTGTCGCGGGCTCAGCCCCGTCCGTCTGCCTAGAATATTCCGCCTAACTCAGCTGTCTACGCCACCCTGGGGACGGAGACGGGGCGGGGGGGCAGGCGGGGGCGCAGGAACCTTACCCACTTCCACGCCGTCAGCCTCCATCTCCCGCTTATACTTCTGGTACATGGGCCACACGTGGCCGTCGAACAGCCCGGGGGGATCAGGGACTGGGTAGCTTCGGGTGCTGCCCGGGGAGACACAGGCACGGGAGTGACCGACAGCCCCTGCCCCGGGGGCGGGGCTCCCATCAAGTCACAGCCAGGGAGGATGCTCGGGGGTCCGGGTCCCCAGGAGCCCAACTTCCCCCGCCACAGCTCACCTCCTCCGCCACTTGCACTCCTCGTAGGGGAGGGTCAGGAAGTAACGGCGGCTGTACAAGTCCAGCAGGGGCCTGGCAGGGGAGGGTGACATGGTCAGCACCTGGGACTTTCCGGGTGACCTAAGCCAGCTCATGTTAGGCTCAGGAAGGGAACCAGTGTGGCAGAACCCTGAGAATGGAGGTGCTGACCACTGAACACAGGACCTCTGCGATGAGCTCCATCCCCGGGCCCTTTTTATTTTTTATTTTGAGACAGGGTCTCACTAAGTCATGAAGTTGCCCAGGGTGGGCTGGAACTTGGGATCCTCCTGCCTCAGCCTCCCAGAATGTTGAGATTGACAGGCATGTACCACAACACCCGGTTCGGTTCCTCCAATTCAGACGGGCACAGAGAGGTACTCTGTCTTGCTCAAGGTCACACAGCAAATGCAAAGGTCCAGCCTGGGTTGCTGGGTCTAGAAAGATTTCTGGGCTTCCCATTGCCTTTCCCCTTGGTCCTGTATCAACACAAACATGGCCAGCGTAGCCTGGGGGAGGGCGAGCTGTGGCCCTCACCTGTAGCTGTAAAGTAGGAAGCCTTCCAGCAGCAGGATGTGGGTGTCTGGGGTGCCGGGCTGCAGGTGGACCCCATGCGTGCGGGCGAACTTCCGGGGGCTGCTGAGCCAGGCCTGCACGGTGCCCAGCATGGCCTCCATGTCCAGAGACTCCAGCACTGCAGCGGGGGGACAGTGGGAGTTGGCGGAGGACCAGGAGCCGGGGACCATGGGGGACAGAGAGCGACAGGCGTGGCTGTTGTCCTTACTGTCCCACTGTTTGAAGCCATCCTCCCCGACAGCTATTTGGTCTTGAGGCTGAAACAGAGAAGCCCAAGCTGGGGTCTCAGTGTTCACCTCTGCAGCCCCATCTCACCCTCTTCCGGGACCCCTGGGGGGCCTGAGAGCCCGTGGGAGAGGCTCCTGCAGCCGCTGCCCCCTGTTCCTAGGTCTCAGGTGGCCATGGGATTCTCACTCCCCAGGCTGCAGAAGCAGCCTTAAGAAGCCAGGCATGGGGGCACATGCCTATCATGCCAGCGCTCTGGGAGGCTGAGGCAGGAGGCTCTCAAGTTCAAGCGTCGCTTGGGCAATTTAGCGACTTGGTGAGCACCTGTCTCCAAATAAAGACTGAAAAAGGGTTGGGGCTGGAGCTCAGAGCGAAGGCTCTGGGTTTAATTCCTAGTTCTGGAAAAGAAAACTCACTCAAAGCAGGCAGATAAACCCCCTTTGTAGAGGGTGCAGCAGGCCTGGGCCTGGCTGCCACCCCCTAACCCCTCCAGCCCCGTTGTCCCTGGCCAGGGCAGCCACCTTGAAGAAGTCGTCCTGGTGGATCACGCAGCAGTTGGGCAGGGCCTTGCGGAGGCTGTTGGTCAGGGTGGTCTTCCCACCGTTGGTCACACTGCAGAGAGAGCAGGCGTGAGGCCGTGGGGCACCGGGAAAAGAACCTGGGTGGGTGGATGGAAACCCAGCGGCTGAGGGCTGAGGCGGGTATTTGCCACAGAAAAGCTAGGAGTCCCCTCTATCCATGAAAGATGAAATCAACTTCAGAAATGATGTCCGACCTCACTGAGAACCAAAAGACACAAAGAAAACAGAAACAAGCAAACCAAACCCGAACGGATATGGTGGATGACGCACGCCTGTCATGCCAGTGTACTGGGCTCTGAGGCAGGAGGACTGCAAGTTCAAGCCCAGCCTGCACAGCCTAACAACTTAGTGAGACACTGTCTCACTAAATAAAAATCAAAAGGCTCAGGGTATAGCTCAGCGCTCCCTGGCTTCGATCCCTAGTAAACAAACAACAACAAAAAAGAAAGAAAGAAAAATGAAGAAAAAGAAGGAAAGGGAAGGAAAGAGAGAAGGGGTGAGCCAATTGGTACTTTAGGGTGGCCCAGCCTGTCTTGGTTTTCTAGTTTTGACACTTAACATCTTAAAGTCTTGAGAAAGGTCCCAGGGGGAACCCAGTGGCCAAGAAAATGGCTTATCTTGCCTTCTAGGACTGACTGAGGACCAGAGGAAGGTCGCCCTAGGGGCCTTTCTGGAGAGCAGGGAGCCCCTGCCTCAGTTTCCTCTGTTCTAGGCATTTGGGGCATGAGGAAGGCAGGTGTGAGACAGGGGAACAGACAGCTGCCATTACAAAGGGCTACTGGGAAAAAGGGACCCTGAAATACTTCAGGGAAAAAGCAAGTTAAAAGCTGATGTAGTGATGCACGCCTGTAATCCCAGCACTTGGGAGGCTGAGGCAGGAGGATCTCTGTGAGTTTGAGGTCAATCTGAGCTACATATCAAGACCTTGTGTGTGTGTGTATGTGTGTGTTTTTTTTTTTTTGGTTTTGGTTTTTCTCCGGCACCAGGAACCGAACTCACGACCTTGCGCTTGCCAGGCAGGCGCTTTGCCGCTGAGCTAAATCCCCAGCCCCTGTGTGTGTGTTTTAAAGCAAGTTAGCAAATCCTGGCCATTAATTCTGGTTGTCACAGAGCTTTATCTGCTTAGGCAGAATGGCGTCTGGGGACCCTGCCCTACATGTCCCTGGGTCCTACAAGGTTGGCCCAAGGTCCTATAGGGACTGTTCGACCTTAATTTACTGTTTTTT